CGACCCGAGGCCGACACGAGTACAGCTTGTGCTTTAGAGAAGTTGCCACGCCCTCAGGGCTACACCATTATTTTGCGCCCGGACACCCCGGGTAAACAAGGGTTGGGAGAGGTCGCAGGGAAGAATGAAGGAACCTGGATTGAGAAAGGGACGTGGATGAGAACACGAGGTACACCTTTCTTTGGCCCCGAGCCTCAACCACATTGTACTACCCGTCGTCGTTGTAGTTCCACATTAAGTGGGCCATAACTCCCTGGGTGGATGAGTCACAGAGGTTGTCTAAGGATAGGAGGAAGGGCAAGTTGTTCTTTTCAAACAAATATTTCCAGTGTGCAAACCATGAAATATTAGACTTCATTACCGCCAAAGTTGTAATCTTTGAGTATCTAGTATTGGAAGACATAAGAACTTTCACTATTGAAGCGTAAGAGTATCCACCAAAACTAAATCCATTTTGGTCTCTAAATACAGTTTAGTTCAGTTACGTTCTTGTAAGTAAGTAGTAGTTGAAGTATGACTTGAACTTGAATGGCTGACCCTGAAATTTAGAGCTAATTTAGCCACTGACGCTTCCAAGAGAAGTGCTTTGTCCAAGAGAGTCTCGGGGTAAATATGACTCGTAAATATTTGTATTCATTTACAATCTCTATCAGATTGCCCCTGAAAAAAAGCAATCCAAAGAACTCAACCTACCCCCCTCTCCTAAACACTATGATTTTGTAATTTGTTGTAGTCGTGAGGAGCGGTCAAGAATGAGGTAGTTTAGAAAAACAATTTTTTTTGCCGACGTTTCGACCTTTATTCGGGTCATCTTCAGGGCATAAAGGGTGGTGCTTTGTTGCAAAAGGCCCCATAGAACACATATTGCGGATCCTTCCTGAATGAGGTTGGAATTGAGTGCTCGAAGTTCCAATCAAACAAATTTGGGGCCAACTTAAGCGACGAGTATGAGAGCGAACCCAGGTCCTAACACCTTAGTAGAATTGGAAGCGGCTGTCTTGGTGGATGGGAAAGAATTTCTCAGAATTTTATCAGAAATCTTTTTTAAGGAATGCAAAGGCGTTTAACGGACGTGATTGGTGGAAATATTCTGTATTAAATGGGACAAGAAAGTTTTTTTTATTATTTTCTCAATAATTGTTTATTTAGAATTAGGTAATAAACATTTTTTAATGTATTATTTTTACAACCAAACCTATTTTTGGTAGGCAAAATATGAATAAATCTAAACACATTAGAATTAAATTGTGGTGCGTTTATTTTGTCCATCAGTTTATTTCAGTTATTACATACTTCGATTTTTTTACGTGAAAACCGTGTTAAGCCCACTTTAAAAGCTCTAAACATGAATTTGTAAAGTAATAAAAAATAGAATTTTTAGGATGAATTCGCTAGCCTGTGCCAATTATTCTCTTCTTCTATCCGGGGTTATGTTTAAAAATTCATAACACCTCTGGATTTTATCCAAATTTAATGTTATTGCAACCTTTATAAAAGTTAATGTATCTTCTGTCAGTCTGTTTTTTTTATCTGTCTGTTCGTTAAACAGGGTTTAGATTTAAGTCTTTAGAACTGAGAAAAATAAGGATGAAAGCAGCAAAAACACCCAAAACGTTTTATTTTATACCTATTTCTAGTTCTAATTTATTTACCTAGACCCAATTTATGTCACTTAGTGCAGTTTGTAAAGTTCTAAACCCCTGTAATGTTGCCTGCTGATCAGTGGAGTCGTTTTGAAGTTAGAGAGATTTGGAAGGCTAAATACTGAAAATCATCTCCCCAGCCCAAAAATATCTATTTGCAAACTAGATTGAAACTTTTTTAGCTAGAAACAAGTGCGACGAAAACAAAGTTTTGGGAAAATCAAACAGTAATGTTTTTCCTCAAAATTTTGGCCTTACAAACGCCTGTGATTTTGATCAAAAATCACAAAAATACCGATAACTTTGAGACAACTGTACCTATCTAGAGGTTTACAGGGGTTTAGATACTAATAAAGAGCACGAAATGCCATAACTTTTTCGATTTTGTCAAATTAGAATCGGAGTTGAAAAACAAAACCTTTGAGGTGTTTTTGCTCAGTTCATCATATTTATGCAGAATAAAAGAACAAAGATTTTACTTTCTAACGAAGGTAGAATCTGGATAAAATGGAGACGAGTTGTGAATTTATAAGTGGAACAACAGTCATCGGCGAGAAAAAAATGGCTACTGGCTGATCAACCCCAAAAATGCTTTTTTTGTGAATGAAAATTCATATTTAAATACTTTAAAGGGTGTTTAAAACGAATACAATTTTTTTTTTTTTTGAAGACTTTTTAAACTTACTTTACAAGCCTAATACAAAATTTGTGGCTTAGCGAAATAAAAAAAAAAACAAGGTTAAATATTTTTTTAGCAAGAAACAAAGTTGATATTCGTTTCCTGCACCCAGAAAACCCTTGAACACAAATTTTTAGGAAAATAAAAAAACAATGTTTTTTCCATCAAATTTCCGGTCTTGCAAATGTCGCTCTTTTTTTTCTAAAATCACAAAAATAACTATAATTCTGAAACGACTATATCAATCTGCAGAAAACTTCCAGGAGTGTACAACACCCAATAAACAACAAGTAATGGCATAAATCACATTTACATCATTAACCGGAGATATAAAATAAAACTTTTGAGGTGTTTTTTGTTGAGTTCATCCTTATTTTCCACACTTACGTAATGGCATAAAAACAAATCCTTGTTAACATAGGCTGAAACATGAAATATTCAGCTTCCTAATGAATGAATATCGTTGAATTCGGATAAAATTCAGAGGAATAATGAATTTTATAAATGGTACACCGGAATCGGATGGAAAAAGTTTGCCCAAACTGATCCAGCCAAAAAGTGTATATTTTCTTTGTTATAAAAATTTGTGTATAAGTGATTTAACTGGTAGTTGATAGGAATATAATTTTTTTTAATTATTATTATTTAGGCNTTTTATATGAAATCTCATTTAATACGAATCTACATATTATTGTCTTATCTTACGTAAAATAACGAATCGAATGATTTTTATATAATAATTTTGAAATATATTCAAAATAAAGGAAAACTGTATTTCAAAATAAATACTTCTTTCTAGGAACATTGGCCCATTAGCAAGAACGCTCGGACATGTGTGTAATATTTTTCGACCTAGTATCACCAATCACAAAAAAATGTTTCATTAAAATAGGTGATCCCTTGTCGAGCGAGTTTCCTTATAATTGAAAATTAATAAATATATTTTTTTATATACATTATACATGGATCGAACACCCCACCCCCAAAAAAATGAAGGTTTTTAACTTAGGGGAAGATTTTTATTTTGCTTTTATGACTGAAAAATTGACCTGAAGAATGAAAATGGCTCGAGGGTTTTGAATATGTAAATGTTTTTTTATCGGGAAATGAGTTGACTTGAGTTCACAATGAATTTGGCCCAAAATCTGCGAGAATCGTTAACTTCTGACGGAAAAGGAAACGTGCTACACAAATGCTCTATTAGAGTGGAAAAGTTTGCAAGTTTGAGCACTAGGGCTCTCAGGGACGAGTGTCAACGAGGAGATCTAAATTAGCCAAGCAAAGTTCGATGAAGTCACCTATGAATCCTGGACCCTGTTACAGCGTACCAAATTGCCAAGAACGTAAATCCAACTAGGTTAAGAAAATAATCCTCGGTTCAAAGGTAACTCCTTGATAAAAGACAATCTCAATAATGGCAGAACTACTAAACCTAGAGCAGCCCTCGGATGATAGTAAGACTGCTGACTCCGAAGACATATTGACGCGAAGCAGAAGAAACAAGACTGCAGATAGTGTCAGGAAGAAGAAACAGTGAAACCTTTGCCATAGGCATATTCGAAGGTTCGTACTGAAAGATGCACAAGGTGGTCCTTCACATAGCTGTGGGATTTGGTAAAAAGCCTTAAGCATAACGAAGAGCCCTAAACAATAAATTGTTCAATAGGCCAATATTGGTCGTGGTGCGTAAGGTTGTAAAGTTTTAACGACACCTTCTTACTCCTCGAAAAAAGAACGTACCGATCTTACAAGCACTCAAAATCTTGTTAAATGAAACAGTTTGCTCTCAGTGTAGTGAATTTTGAAAAATCTTCGAAGATCTTCCAGTGTTCAAATTTGATAGGTTTGTGCCAGCGGAAACGACTGTGATTTGGACAGAAATGGTTCAGCAGATAACTGTTTTAGACAAATTAAATTAGATTTTTAAAAAGGTAATGGAGAAAATCTGTTGTTTGTATGGCAAAAAAAGGTTTTTGTAATTTTTTTACATCCATTACAATCCATTGACAGTTTAATAAATTTTTTCTTGCATCTCATAGCGAAGCACCCTGTATATATGTGGGTTATTGAAACTAATTTGAAAAAATAAGTTAATAAAAAAAAATTAAAAAATCGTATTTTCTCTACTTTACTATTTGCCATAATTTTTCTTTGAATTTTAAAAATCGTGGTCATAAAAAAGCTTAGCGAAATTTTTGACCATGTGCTCAAAATTATCTACTCTTTTAAGAAGAACACTTGTGATATTTTCTTCATAGTTTTACTTTTTGCTTTATTTTGCTTATAAAAATCTACCAATTTTACATATTTTAAAAAATATTAGTAAAATATAACTAGATCTCTACAATAATCGTATGGGCATTGTTCTTATTATTCTTCATTGCCTAAAAAGTCTCTCTTGAAATACGGTCTGTATCAAAACCGTGCTAAAGTCTTTAAGCAAATGCCACATCATATTTTTTTATATAAATTCATATATCCATTGTTTATTGTTACGTACTTGCGCTTTTTCTTTGGCGATTCTAAAACTTTTCGAAATTTTCGTCGAAATCAAATCAACTACAGTGTAAGTACTAAGGGCGAAAAGTTTATGTTTGTCCACAGGATTTCTTTCTTAAATCTTTTTGTTAAGTCAAATTGCTATCTAATCTACTCACTAATCTTATGTCATTACTTACGTTTACCACTTCTTCGTCCTTTCACAGGCACCGGGAGGAATTCACCACCCGGTATGCCTTCCTTCTTTCCCGGTAAAAATTTCAATGTAAATTTAAAAAAAAAAATTCAATATAACTCTAGCCGAAATTAAAAAGCTATGACAGTATGATATTATGATATGATATATTGTCTTTGGGTTTGTTTTAATAAATCATAAAAGGGGAATGAGTGAGAGAGAATTAGTTGGGAAGTCCTTGCGGGCGGCTCCGGTGATGGACTGACGATGTCTGCCCGTGGCCGAGAATCCGACGTCGCACATGCGTCCTCGGGCGCATTTCTTCCTCTCTCCTCGAGGGAAGAACTCGGGTCGCGGCCGCTGATCTTCTTCTTCGACGCGGTCACTGCCTGAGGAAGACGAGTAGCCGTTCCGCTGTCATTGCAACGATCCGTGCGTTGATTGAACCTCAAAAACCGAGTTGAAAATTCACCACCTATCACTGTTTCGTTGAAATCAGAGTTCACCGATTTCTTATTTTAACAAAGTACCCATAGAGAAAAAAAATCATAACTAATTTATCATTTTCATTTGTTTTCTTTTATCTAGTTATTTATTATATTGAGGTGAATCAATAAAAATGACCTTTATCCTTATTATCTTATTTATTTTTAAAAATCATTTCCAATGTTCTTGTTGGTATTGATTTAATAAGTGCTACTTCTGTGTAGGCATGTCTCGGAAATTTATTTATGTATTTACAGTTTCCAAATTACAAGTGTATACAATAAAAAAAGAATTAGGCTTATAACTGTACCTAAATTTAGAATTATTTATAATAACAATAAAACAAACAAACAATTTAGAATGAATAGAAACAATTTGCAATAGGTATTAACACTATATAATTATCAATTAATAATTATAATCAAATTCAATATTAATTGTATTAATCTGTATGTAAGGTGTTGGTTGAGATAAAAAAGTCAGTGTCACGAACGGGATTCGAACCCACGACCTTCGGCTAAATACGCCGCTGCTCTACCACTTGCGCTATCGTGACTTAGATCCACTGGGAGACCAACTCCCCATCTCATCCTACGACCTTTCGAAAGGAGAGTTCAACATCTGGAATCCCATTCAAGGAAATCTCGAGCATGGATATTAACGCTCTTACCAGAAAAGTGATTCGGCTAAAGAGGCTAAGAGAGTACAGTGAGTCTAAATACCTCAAGGGACGTTACTGTAAGGACATTCAGCCAGGCTTGCAAACTAAACCCTAGTCCACCAAAGTAAACAGACAGGAGATTTTTCACCACATTATGTCGATAACGTTTTAACAGGCAGCCATACCACCTACAGATGATTACTAAACAACGAACTATGTCCGTGTGATATGTTGTCAGTGGCTGACGCTAATCACCCCATCCTAGCATACCCACGCTGCTCAGTAAGAAGAGATGACCTCTTTAAAAAGTTAATAAAAAAGCAGCACCCATTACCAACATCGGTTAGCTTAATTGATGCACACAGTGGATTTAGATATTATGGACTTGGTTTTGCAAAATTGTACTTGAAACTAACCGAAATTTAACGTAGTAGATCAACATGAAACTTCCAAAACCGCACAAGATAAAACAATATAATCCTAAATAGCATATTTCCCTAAATATATATGGCTCATACGGAGACAGTAATGCCAAAATAAAATATATATACAGGGTGACTTGCTACTCGTGCTACAAACTTCACCAGTAGATTCTTGACCCTAANTTTTCTGTCATATAACTTTGGTCGCTAGACGATCCGTATGTTTATTAGTAATATGTTATTATTATGTTTATTTACCTATCTTCCACACCCAATATTCCTAGAACACATATTACATATATACACAATCATGCTACTATAAGATTTTAATCTAACCTATATTTGGCAGGTCTCAGAGTACAAATCCCAAAGTACCCGTATAACTAACCGGGAGTCGCTAGGTGAGAGTCACCTCGCCAACAACTCGTCATTCACGCCAATAAATGCGTTCATTCTGAGTAACTTTCCATGCCGTATTTACAATTAAAATTGGCAAGACACCGTGCATTTTTATTGCCCAGCGTTTCGCCACCCTATCATAATCCACTTATTCCTTAACCTAACAAACTTAAGTTTTTGAGAAATCTGCGGAAAATTCGATATTCCACCACGCTAATAAATACATTTACACTGGACGGGTTCAACGGATGCCGTCGAGCCCTTCCCTTACATCTCTCTATAGATATTAAATTACCTAAACCTAATCCAGTGGGCTGTGAGTACTCAATATTCCGTCACAGCCTCACCCACGCACACTTCATCATTCGCGCTAATAAATACATTCATAAATAGTAAGAGTAGGGAATATAACGTGTGGTTGTTTGTATATACCCATATGCATTTACTTATTTTAAATATGCAATGAGATTATCTTTATGGTCGCTGTCATGCCTCAGACCTCTTGACATATCTTCAGGTAGGTCGCACCATACTCTGTGCGGCGCCAATCGTTTGCATTCTTCTAAAACGTGTTTCCCTGTTAGACACTGTGTTATATTTGTAGATTCAAATAAAGTTTTCCAAAACAGGAATGCGTAGTTGTTTATTTAACTGGAGCAGTCGGTAGGACCGGTTGAAGAGAAACAAATCACTCGTCTATCTTTTGTACCAACAATTAATCAACCGATCCCGAAAAATATTGATGAAACGTATCGAACGTGGAACCAATAGACTGTATAAGAATACAACATTCATCACCACCGAAGGAACATCGGAAATAATCCATAGAATGTTTAGCGGTCATAATTGACCGAATTAATTATTTCAATTAATTATGTGTGGTGATTAGTGACCGTTAATCGATAATTATTCAGAAATCGTGAGATGCGGTCTGGTGTGATGTAGGTTTCAGAAAAACATTTTCTTTATCGTGCCAACGTTTCGATCTTTATTGAGATCATCTTCAGGGCTCAATGAAGATCGAAACGTTGGCACGATAAAGAAAATGTTTTTCTGAAACCTACATCACACCAGACCACATCTCACGATTTCTGAATAATTATCAATTAATTATTATTTTTATCTAAGGTCGTGGGTTCGAATCCCGTTCGTGACGCTAAATTTTTCATCTCAACTAAGACGTTAGATAAAAATAATAATTAATTGAAATCGGAAATAATGATATCGTACCTTCTGTAAGTAGAATTAAGTATTTTAAAACTTTTGAAAATTAAGAAAGAAAGATTTTATTTTCAACTTAAGATAATTTTTTCTACTATCTTATATTTTGTTTAAAAATATAGTGTTGTTAGTTTATGTTACACATTTATCCGCGCCTCTTCATAATAATTGACAATAAATTAATATAAATACTGATATAATAATTCTTGACCATGGCAACAGCAGAAGCAATCCTTGTTTTGAAAAAAGAATATATAGACATGATCCCTGAATTTCACGGCCAACCAGAACTTTTAAATAGATTCCTATCAATTACTGAAAGTTTGGTAAACAGATTCGCAAATGCAGCAGACCCTAACGATTTCCAAAATGAATACTTAATATCATCCATACTAGCAAAAATAAAGGGCCCTGCAGCCGAAATTAACTGAAGTTCCACAATACGTCTTGGACTGATGTAAAAAATGCGTTGCTAAATAGCTGCTCTGATAGAAAATATTGTCACACGCTTGTAATAGAAATTGCGGAAACAAAACAATTTAACAAAACACGATTCGATTATTAAACCAAGTACAGACAAAATTAAGGCCATTAAAAATTACCCGATTCCGAAGGCAACGAAAGAAGTCAAAGGATTTCTTTCCTACGACTTTTAAGCTATTACAGACGATTTACGCAAACCGTTAACAAATGTTTGAAAAAGAATTCCACCATTAACGTACACAACCCTGACTATAGAGAATGTTTTCTCACCTGTAAATGCTTACTAACAAAAGAACATTACAATTTCAATTAATTAATCTTTATGTAAAGTATTGGTTGAGATTAAAAAAGTCAGTGTCACGAGCGGGATTCGAACCCAAGACCCTCGACTAAAAACGCCGCTGCTTTACCACTTGAGCTATCGTGACTTCGATCCACTCGGACACTAACTTCCCATCTCAACCCCACCTTTCGAATTCCCTCCCCCTTTTTGCCATTTTTCATTACAATATCCAGACTTCACAAAGCAATTAACTCTAACAACGTCGCCTTAGGAGTTGTACTTAGTCAAGATATCAATGGATCCGACTAGCCAATAGCTTATGCTAGCAGGATACTCAATGATTCGGAGACAAATTTTTCCACTGTAAAAAAAAAAGTTTAGCTGTTGTTTTAGGAACTAAATACTTTCGACCGTACCTTTATAGACGTAAATTTAAAATCTACTGTGACCAAAAACCTCTTCAATGGCTTTTTTCTATAAAGAAACCCAACTCTAAATTAATGAGAATGAGAATAAAACTAGAAGAATACGACTAGGAAACCATCTATAATTAGAGATCTTTAAATACTAACGCCATCGCATTATCCAGAATAGAAATATGTGGTGATTACTGACCGTGAATAATCATCCACAATAGAATTACACGTTAACGGGACTACATGAGACGATGTCATCGACGAACTAATAGCAGATTTTTGTGAGAAAAACCCCGAACTTTAAAACATGTCAACTATAGTAAATTTAGACGAAGGAGATCTCATGATCACCGATGACCAGACTATACATTCAAATGCAGAAGGAAATACGACAATTACTATATCTATAGTAGACGGACCTGTACACCATATTATATATACCCGAGGGGTTAAAAGCCTAGGTAGGCCCGTACCCCATCCCTAAAAGGTCCTGGACTTGGTCGGCTCACGAGTCCTGCATAAACCTCTTGGACCTGTTTACAAACCCCAAGATTTTGGACCATTTTATCTTGGGGAGTGATTTGTCAATGTCCTCTCCTTCAAAAGTTTCAAATCTATCCCTGGCATACCTATCACATTCTGCGAGGTAGTGTCGAGCCGTTTCTTCTTTTATTTCAGTATCAACGACAATCATTGACCA